TGTTGAAGTGGTGAACTACTTTGAGTTGGTAGTCCACACAGTATCCAACAGATGTTGCTGTATTTTCTTCAGAGAGTTAAAATATCTCTCACTGTGCCTCTTTGAGTTTACCTTGGTGGCCCAGGGTGCCTGAGAACACAATTTGGAAACTGTGGCTTTAAGCAGATTTTTTTTTTTTTTTTTTTGAGACAGAGTCTCACTCTGTTGCCTGGAGTAGAGTGCCGTGGCCTCAGCCTAGCTCACAGCAACCTCAAACTCCTGGGCTTGAGCAATCCTACTGCCTCAGCCTCCCGAGTAGCTGGGACTACAGACATGCGCCACCATGCCTGGCTAGTTTTTTTTTTTCTATATAGATTTTTAGTTGTCCAAATAATTTCTTTCTATTTTTAGTAGAGACGGGGTCTTGCTCTTGCTCAGAGCTGGTCTCGAACTCCTGACCTTGAGCGATCCACCCGCCTCGGCTTCCCAGAGTGCTAGGATTACAAGCGTGAGCCACCGCGCCCGGCCCGAAACTGTGGCTTTAGAGACTTGAAAAAACTAGTAAATCTCTTGCATGTTTCTATGTTAATATCTGCAAATTTTTTCATACATTCAGATTCTTACAAAATATGATTGAATTTCAGCAAATTATAAATAGCAACATTTAAAAGAAAACTATCTCGTTTTTAAATGTATACAAATAAGATCTAAATATCATAGCAATTTGGTAACAAAATCATCCATTTAAAAAATACATGATGCCAAGACATGGTGGTTTGCACCTATATTCCTAGCTATTTGGGAGGCTGAGGCAGGAGGATTGATTGAGGCTAGGAGTTCAAGACCAGCCTAAGCAAGAGTGAGACTCCATCTCTACTAAAAATAGAAAAAATTAGCCAGGTGTGGTGATGTTTGCCTGTAGTCCCAGCTACTCGTGAAGCTAAGGCAGTAGGAGGATCGCTTGAGCCCAGGAGTGTGAGGTTGCTGTGAGCTAGGCTGACACCATGGCACTCTAGCCCAGGCAACAGAGTGAGACTCTGTCTCAAAAAAAAAAAGTCCCTTTGTCCAGTGTATCCGTGCTGTATATGCTGCCCACTTTGTAGCTGTTTTGGTTATCAGATTGAAAAAATGTGGTATATACAGGGTTCAGTACTATCTGTGGGTTCACGCTTCCACCAGAGGTCTTGGAAAGAATTCCCCACAGATAAGCGGTGACTACTGTAGCGTAAATCTCATACTGTTCTTACAGTGTTCCTTTTTTGTTTCTTGATCTTGTGTTTGCATTCCATTTCCCTACAGAATCGTATTCTAGTGTAAATAATTGAAAATCCTTTTCTGGATCATCCTGTCATACTTCTCTGCAACAAAAATGCATAAATAAATTAAAAATTTTTCCCCTGTGGCCATTAGGCTATGTGTATTAACCCATAAGAGAATTATCTTTACAAGTATTAGTTCACAATTGCTCCAGATAACATAAATATATTATTAAAATGTTCATACAAAATTATTTTGTATAAAGTAAGTTTTATTGGAAATGCTTCTCCTAAGACATGGATACATTTTATTTAGTTTACATTTTACTAATTAGGTCATGTAATCATCAATGAATATCATTTATTGCTATAACAAGAAAGAGTTCAATATCAGTTCTGTTCCTGTTTTTTTTTTTTCATGCTGATAAACCCTGTTTACATAAATAAGTAGATGGGAGTGGAAGGAATTTTGTTAAAATAAGAATTTTAAAAATTCCTTTTTTATTATATGCCAAGAACCATGGTGATCTATCATCAAAATTGATTTTTTGTTGTCAATTGACAACTTGCTAAAGTTCTCCAACTTTGCTGTAAATAAAGAATTGGAAAACATCATTATAAGCTTTGGTTGTGGTTAAAAGAAGAAAAAGTAAAACATTTTTAAAAAAAAAGAACTGGACAACATCAGACTTACAAGAGGGATTGTAACTTAGCCATCAGTGCCTGCTGAATTTTAGTATGGATGAAAAGTAAATTGAGAGGCATGACTGTAAGAGAGGACTTTGGTTTTGATCTTTAGCAATCAGGAGCTCTCCCCTCAAGCAGATCAGTTGGGGGAAGAATTTTTATTTTTACTTTCAAATTTTAAAATTTTTAATTTTTTGCCTTTTAAAAAGTGAGGTAAAGTATACATGTATAATTTGCCATCTTTACCATTTCCAAGTATACAGTTCAGTGGTAATAAATACATACACATATATATATATTTTTTTCCACTTCTTCCCCCTCCACCTACCCTTCCTGGCCTCTGGTAACCACCAGTCTACTCTCTATCTTCATGAGATCCGCTTTTTTAGTTCCCACATATGAGTGAGAACATGTGATATTTGTCTTTCTATGCCTGGCTTATTTCATTTGTAATGGCCTCCAGTTCCATCCATGTTACTGCAAATGACAGAATTTCAGTCTTTTTATGGCCGATTAATATTCCATTGTGTATATATACCACATTTTCTTTATCCATTCATCCGTTGATGGGCACTTGATTCCATGTTTTGGCTATAGTGAATAGTGCTACAATAAACAAAGGAGTGCAGATAGCTCTTTGATATATTTATTTCCTTTCTTTTGGATATATACCCAGTAGTGAAATTGCTAGATCATATGGTAGTTCTATTTTTAGTTTTGCAAGGAACCTCCATACTGTTCCATAGTGGCTGTACTAATTATTTTTTTTTTTTTTTGAGACAGAGTCTCACTGTGTTGCCCGGGCTAGAGTGCCGTGGCGTCATCCTAGCTCACGGC